AGTACTAACGCAAAACTCATATATTTTATGTCCGTAGTAATAAAAAATAAAATTGACCTTTTTTAGATATTGCTTGACCAATTTGATCATGACGCATATAAATTCAGAAGACAATGAATTGATATACTTACAGAACTTGGAAGTACACAGTTTCTGAGAGAGTTTTATGATTGGTCACCTTTACTTTGAGAACTAGTAGAGAAGAATTTATTACGCAATAATAACCAAAAAGATACTTCTTTGTTATCGTCCCGCCAAATTTTTTTAATTTTTGAATATTATCTTATCTTTTACCTTTTTAGCTGATTATCAATTCTGTTATATCCATTATAATATTTTTTTTCTATTTTTATATGTTACGGTCTTGTTCTGTTTGAGAATAAAAATTTTTTAAAAATTAAAAAGTTTTGGCGGGACGATAACAAACAAGTACTGCCAAAAATGATAGAAATTAAGAAAAGTGTTAAGATTTTGGATAGGAAGAAAACTGTTGTAAGTAGTATTAAATGTACCTGATTGAAAATCAGATAAATCTCTATTGAAGTAACTTTACAAAAAATTTGATATAAATTGTTTTCGAGACATGTTGAATTCTAATACTTAGTCATATCCCCAGCAAGCGCTATAGTATCACTCAACTGGTACATGGTTTCTCAGAACATTAAAACTCAATGAAAATGCAATTTTTCATATATCCTTCGATGTGCCATGAGTTGCTTTACGAAATCGTATAAATGACTTTTCCAATGAACCGTGTTCATCTGATTTCATAGATTCCTTTATTTTATTTAAATAGAACAATTGGCTTTTGTTGTGGTTGTTGTGGTTATTGTTCACCTTGTTGTCGAAATCAAGACAGTGTAAATGATCCATGCGGAACTCAATATGCTACATTAAGATATTTACTACGTTCACAAAATCCTGTTATATTATATGCTAATTTTCTTGGTGCATTTCATCGCGGTATGAGAAAAACTATGAAAAAAAAACTATGATTCATTATATTTTTATTTCATTTTTCTAGCTCCATTTTATATAGCAGCTGATAATGAAAAGAAAACAATAGTTGTATCTATTCGTGGAACATTAAGCACAACTGACGTCTTAACTGATATAAATGCTGTTGAAGATATTTTAGAAACAGAATTATTTGGTAGTGGATATTGTCATAGTGGTAAAATTTTGTTTTATTATTATTTTTCGAATCAATTTGACGAGTAAAGTATGATAGAGAGTGTGAAATAAAGATAAAAGATCAAAAATTATATTGTTAGAAACTTTCATAGTTAATCGTAGATCCTTGAAAATTAAAATAAATCAGTGCTGAATAATTCGTTGGATGACTACTCATCAAAAAATTTAGATGTTAGATATTTCAAATTTCTTTCATTGATTATGAACTATAATAGAAAGATGTCTGTCTTTGACAATCATAAGAAGAATAATCCTATGAACCATTTGATTTCATAAGAGATTGAAAGAAAACTAAAAAAAAGAAACAACTCAAATTTAAGTTTATTGAGTGTGTGTTTCTTAATTGATTGTAGCACATAGTTTAACAATGTTGTCGAGCCCTCTTTTTGACATTCTATAATGTCATGCTTCTTTTTCAATTTTCTATCGAGAGAGAAATGCTATATCACGTGCTTTAGTAGATGAGGACATATTTTTATCTAGGCAAAAACGACCCAAAAACGTTTTTAGTGCATGTCTATCTTCACTGACCATCAACACTCTTTCAACATCCTTGAAGAATGATACGTCATGCAACTAACTGGTTTAGCATCTTACAAACGATAATTACTCACGAGTATGAAGTTTTGGTTGCAACTGATATATTGTAATCGTATGGATTATTGAGATTCTTCTGTTCAAACGATGAACAACATAAAATGATCTAAATTTAATATACGCATTGATTTGTAGAATATTTATACTGTCATCTGAGAAAAATAATAATTTATAGAAATATACCATAGTTTACATACACAAGAATGAAACAGCAGACGTTAAAAGACTTCTTAAAATTAGATATGATTTCATGGAACATCTAGACTGACATTTCTGATGTGTGTCTCTCTCGAATGAATATCACATCAATATATAAATAATAATAATCTTTCATTTTATTTTGGTCAATAGTAGTCATTTCTTGAGTAAGTACTCAAAAAGTCTTGTATTATGTATTTATTTCTTTCATCGAATAATGAAACATACTAATGCTTATTATTCTAAATCGAAACAGAAATTTATCATTCTTGTAGAATTTTTAAACAAGTTTTGTAATTTATGTTATTTTTTTTAAAGGTATGCATTTAGCAGCTAAATATGTTCTCGATGATATATCAACACGTTTAACTGAAATATTTACTAAATATCCTAATTATACATTAATTATATGTGGTTATTCACTTGGTGCTGGTATTGGATCGATTCTTAGTATTTTATTAAAATCAGAATATCCACACTTAAAATGTTATGGTATAGCTATGCCTGGTTCTGTTTTATCAGAAAATTTAGCACACGCAACACGTCATTTTATTTATTCATATGTTGTTGATGTTGATATGATAGCTCGTGTATCAATTCGTTCATTAGAACATTTACGTGATAGAATCGTTGATGCATTAAATAAATGCAATCGAAGTAAACTACGTTTATTAACAATGACACTTGCACGAACATTAATTAAACGTCAACAAACTTTTCGTTCAATGAGTTATCAAACAGAAACATTAATTGATGATACAGTATCAAATTCAGCCACAACTGCCAATATTAATGAATCGATTTCACAAATAGTTTTAACACATCATTCTGGTGAACGTGCACATTTAGTTATGCCTGGAACTATCATACATTTATATTCAACACACCGTGTTGGATTATTTTCACGTGGAGTTTCTTATCGTGCTGGTATAACTACATATAACCAATTTTCTCAACTTATTGTTCATCCAAGAATGTGGCTTGATCATTTTCCTGCATCGTATAGCACAGCATTAGCAGATGTTATTGAAAATTATGATCAAATTTCTCAACAAATAGTCTAGTCTTTCTTTTTGTTGTTAGATATATGTATATTTTATAGATTTACTTCTAATGTTTATATTAATAAATGGATAAGAAAAAAGATAAACAAGATAGACACAAAAAGAGAAACTATTAAATTCTTTTAACAACATTAATTGTTCAATAAATAAACAAAACAGTGATCAAACTTTGAGAGTCTTTGTCATTGTTGCATTAGTTTATTGGAAAGCTTTTTTTCGAAGTTGTACCTTTAAACAGAGTTGTTGATATTTTTTAGGAGTAGAAAGGATTAAAACTTCGCGCAGAAAATGCTTTCATTTTTGCAGTGCTAGAAGTGCTCACCGTGGGACAAGAGAGAAAGAACGAAACCCATTATGATTCGACCTCTCTCACAACAGATCATCTGCCACTAGACGATTCCTCTCTCGAAGTCTGTCTTAATCTAAATCACTCCGCAACGGTAATAAATGACATTTCAAAACTTAGTTGCTGTCCCAAATTACTACGAACCTGTAAAAGATTAGCAAAGAGTTGAACATTATGAAAAGAGAAGAAGCTCCTCGTTCCCTTAATCGAAAACCCTACCTTTGAAAGACGGTTTTTCCTTCATATTAGAACCTTGAAGTATTCTTATTTGATACTTATACTATAGTTTTCTACGTATAATGTCAATCTTTCCTTATTTTATCTTAATTAACCTATCATTATCCTGTCATCAATAACATGCCAATCATAATTGACAATGAATTATCTCTATAGATTATTATTAGTTTATATAAATAGCATAAAACAATATTTTAGCTTCAGCTGCACTATCAGATTCAATGGATGCTGAACTTCTATCATGACAAGTAAATAATAACAAATTAGGAAAAGTTTTGTTGCATCCAGAATATTCTACTAAATGTTTCTATTGGTTGAAAAGATTTGTAGGATATATATTTATTTTTGATTAATGTCTATAACGATGTGCTTCTAATTGTTCATCTTGCTCAGCAACTGATTATGACAGATGAATTTGCTTATTTTGAAAAAATTTTCTGGTAGATTTTAATTTGATATTCACTAACGAGAGAACTATCCAAACTGTAACTTCTCATTAAGTTTACAAGGAAGTCTAGAAAATTTTTCAAAATTTTCGTGCCGATAGACCTCAGAAGTTGAGTAATGACAATTTTACCGATTTGTCAACCTCTGATTGTGCCCATAGATATATCTAATGACCTTTGGAATATTCTGAAAATGTCAGCAAAAAAGAATGTTTATTTATCAAGATATTGGATCTCTGAATCAGTCGCTTGCCATAGACATGTCATAAAAAGCAAGTTTAATTGGAAACTCGATATCTCAACGAATAAACATTCTTTTCTGCTGAAAATTTCGAATAATTCTCAAGATCATTAGATCTATCTATGAACTGAATTTCAAATCGAAGTTTTTGTTATTTGATTTTTCAGTAGATATTTAAAAATAGGTCGAAAATTCATTAAAATGACCATAATTTGATTTTAGAGGTCTACTAACATAACTTCATTTAGGATTTTTCTAGTCTTATCAAGACCTTGTTGTAAGTTCAATATGAGTTCGAACAGTAGCTTACAGTTATGGTGAGTTCTTCATTAGCCCTTCTATGTATTTGAACATTCTACTTAGGTTTTTATTGATCTTCATAAAAGTAGAGACTTTTTTGCTGTTCATTCCGTTTCTTTTGTGCTTCGAACATAAAGACAATTAATGATCGTCAACAAAAACAAAATACTATTATATTTCTGCATTAGTTCGATTTTATTCATTTATTAAAATCTTACACATCATTTTGACTAAATCAAGTCAATAATTAATTCAAAAAAACTTATACAAATAATAAATTAGTCTGTATCGATAGAAACAGGTCAGACGTTTTTTTTAACAGATATGATAACAACAATCAAATGTTTATAAAGTAGATGTTTAGAAATCATTGTATTTTAACCGTCACCTTCTGATATTGAATTGAAAGCATGTACGGTAAAACCTAATGGTAATTCACTAACACGTTCACCTTTCAATTTAATACATAATAAACCTTGTTGTGTTGGTATACGAACAGTTCGATTTGAACCAGCGGGAGCATTACTAATATTAGCTGTTGATGAAAAACCTGCGACAGCAAAACCTTTACGTTCAGCTGAAGGAATTTCTGATGTAAAACAATATTTAAATTTGCCTTTTTTGTCAAGAATTGATGCAAGATTTTGTTCACAATCAAGTATAATAACGTCTGTATTAGGTAAAACAGCTACACTGCATGTTGGTTTAAGTAAACGACGAACACGACGTGATAATTTATTACTTTGTTCATATATATTGCTATTCGTATCAGAAATAGCCGGAGGTGCAGAAGATGATGTTTCTAAGGTAGTAGGAGAAAGAGAACCATTTCCTTCAACAGATAAGGGTGATGTTGAAAAATTACCATTTTCGAAATTAAGCTCATTAGTTGAAATTGATATATCCATTGTCTAAATATAGAAGATTGAAATAAAACTGTGCTTTTATATGAAAAAGAAAAACTTAATTAATTTTTGTTATATTATTTACAGGGGAAAGATTTTTTAAATATTTTAGAGAAAAAAAAGAATTTCTTTTACTCTAAACATTGATAACTCTACAAAAAATAGGAACAGAATTTTATTAAATTAATATACCTTTCTGAAACCTTATATTTGTAAATATAACTTTCTTAACGTGTTGGGCTTTTCTCATCATTCAAATAATTATTTTAAAACAGAAGCTGAATCGAATTTGGTTTTTAATGTTTTGAGTTCGATTCGTTTTTAGCCTCTGTTTTAAAAATCTATTATTCAAGAATCTCTTAGGAAATCTATATTTTTTAATTAATTTATTAATTCTAATGGCCAGAATAAGCAAAATACTTTAAATAATATAAATAATAAATAACAGAATTAACATATATCAGGTCAATTGCTTTTCCTTGAATATAGACAAAAAAAAAACATGTTTTTTTAACCTGTACAGCTTGTGTCGTTGTTGTCACATCTTCCGTTTGAATGGCTATTGAAACAAATGTTTTACTTGGTTCTGAATGAATGTTTGTATTATCAACATCATTTTTTATTTTCTTTTCATCATCATTCTCATTATCGTCTTCCTCTTCTTCTTCTTCTTCGTCTTCTTCATATTCTTCTAAAACCGCATCATGTCCTTGTTGTTGTTCTTGTTCTTGTTGTTGTTGTTGTTCATGTTCTTCTTCATCTTCTAGTTCACCTTCACGTTCATCATCATCTATTGGTGTCATTTCACATATTTTTAATGTACCCAAATTTAATTGTCCAGGTTGAAAATCAATTCTCATACAAATATTTTCTGGTAATGGATCAAGTTCAACAGCATCAAGTTCATGAAATTTTTCCATTAATTGTTTTTTAACTAATAATAATTCAATATCTTTTCCATTAATAACAAGTTCTGTTAATGAACATGTATTTTTTATTTGTTCAAAATATTCATCTAATTCTTCTCGACGTTTGATAAATTCATTTGTTTCATCACCATATAATGCTGATATTTGTTGTATAAGTTCTTGTTCTTTTATACGTAATGATTTTTCAAATGTACTTGCTAATGAATGTATACTTGATTCAATTTGTGCTATATTAGCATCACAACGACGTATAACATTTAAATATGCTTCTAATTCTTTCATACGTGTTTTACAACCCTCAAGACAATCATTTATATATGCTTTATGATTAGCAGCAGCCGAACGAAAATCTAATAACTCATGATCACGATGATCAGCATATGTACAAGCAATACAAATACATGTTTCACATTGTTCACAATAATAACGAACAAATTCTGTTAGATGATGCTTGAAAAAAAAAAGAAGAAAAACATAATGAAATAGAATTAGGATATTTTTCTGTGATTTTTACTTTGCATAAAATATCTTTTTCAATTTCTAATTCATATATTGAATGATGACGTGTAACTGTTATTGTTTGATGTGCTTGTACACAATGACGACATAGAAATTTTTGACATTCAAGACATCGTGATGTTGCTTCACGTTCACGATCATTAACAGCTTTACATATTTCACAATTTGTTAAAACTTTCATTGAACCATTTGGTCCTAAATTTTTTTGAGTTATCATTTCTGATAAACCAGCTATAAGAAAATTGTCTGGCAATTTTTGAACACCACCTGATGGAATAGCCGTTTTTTTTCGACATATTGGACATGCAAATTCACGATAATCAGAATATTTATATGATCTAAATAGATTTCATACTTTTTAAGTTAAATTGTATATATATATAGATATAATTGTTTCAACAAAAAAACTTCATTTTATATTGTCAATTAAAGATCAATAAGGTCAACATATAAATAGGATAGAAGTTAGTAATGAAATTATTACGACAAGGATTGTTAATATATTCTAAGTAAACATTGTATATATACTGGTTTAATTATCTTTGTGAATCATAAACAAGCAACTGTAGGATTATGTCAGTTATTCAAGGAAAGCTAACGTTTCTATTACGATGGTACTATCCGAACTATAACACCCTTCTGACCCTACAATGAAATCTTCGTAAGACAAGAATGATTTTAAAAATTTTCGTGTCCATAAATCTTTGGAACTGATTTATGACTGTTTTACTGAATTTTCGACTTATAATTTTGTCTATAGATAGGTCTAATGACCTTTAGAATATTCTGAAAGTTTCAATAGAACAGAATATTTATTTGTCGAGATATTCGATTTCTAATGAAACTCGATTTTTATGACATGTCTATAGCAAGAGACTATTTCTTGTTTTAGGAAATTCAATATCTTGATCAATGAACATTTTTTTCTATTGAAACTTTCACAATACACTCTAAAGATCATTAGGTCTAAATTTCAGATTGAAATTTCGTTATTTGATTTTTCAATAAATACCCAAAAATAGATCAAAAATTTATTAATTCGATCATATCTCAACTTCAGAGGCTAATGGACACGAACATTTTCTATTTATAGCGAGACCTCTTCGTAAGTTCAATATGAGTTCAAGCAGCGAGTCACAGTCGGGGAGTAGTTCCTTCGTTAATCTTCTAGGTAAATTCTTTTCTCTTTACTCAACAATAAACAGTGATTTTGTTAATACTTTAAGTTTGAACAACTAATGTTTACTTTACTCTTACGATTTACGTAACTTAATGCAAATGATTAGAATATATGTATACATATATATAGAAGAAAAACAAACAATAGATATCTCTTACAATTGTAAACATTATTACTGGGCGAAGTATAATCAAGGTAATAGTGGCATCGTTTTTGGATATCAAATAAAAGACTTAAACAAAACATGATTGCTTTTTTTTGGTCTCTTTAAACATGAGCTTTTCTTTTCAGCATTGAAACAATTAGTTCAGAATTGAGTTCGATTTCTGCAAATACTAGTATTCTTAAGATGCATGTTTTTTTTTTCTATAGACTCCAAGATAGAATAAAAGGTACACATCTGGATTTACAGTAACTGTGTTAATTAGTTATATATTCTCAAAAATGAAAACACGATAATATTAAACAATATCTGAATGAAAATAAATGAAGTCGAACTAAACATAATAGTCTACACAAATATGTAATTTAGACAAATAGATAAATTGTAAATTTCGAAAGATGTCATCTTTTCTGTTGTAATGGCTTTTTGTCGTCTGTTTCTTGTAGGCAAACTTCGTTGATTAATGTTCTCCATGATATTTTTTTCCTTGAATAAACAGTAACAACAGCAGGTGACTTATATGATTCACCAATGCCGACATTTATCTTATTTTAGGAGAGATATTAATTGAAAAATCGTTTTTTTTTTGTCCTCATCGAACAAAATTTTACCTTTGAGCAGAAACATGACTTTCAATACATTGTTCACAAAATGTGTGTAAACAAGTTAAACATTTTGGTTCTTTGAATGGTTCCTTAAATTAAACAAAAATATAAAATATATTCTCTGATAAATAAATAATATGTGTATTTATTTATTTATTTTCTATAATTCATACCAGACATATTTTACATGTTAAATACTGATCATTGATTTTCTCAGCAAGACGAAGAACTTGTTGTGTCATAGCTTCTGATGTTATTGGTGTTGATCGTGCTGGTGAGATCGTTTTTAGAGTAGTTTCAGGTAAATTAAGATGTTCAGTATTGTCACTATTTGTAATAATTAAGCCTCTATAAACAGATCATCAACATATGCATGATTTTTCCAATGTTTGTACGTATTTTTGTTCTGATGGCAATAGAAAACATAGCCTTTATCTTTCTATTGCTTTACGCTCGTCGTAGCATCTTTCTCTTCTTGCTGTCTCTTTTACTCAAGCTAGCAACCATCGATAAGGGATGTCCAAGTAAAAACTATATCCCTTCCATCTTTTCGATTTTGACTAACTCTTTCTCGTCTCGTATATCTTCAGTTTTCTAAATTTTATTTTAAAGAGTGTGTTTGTTCTAGAATAATGTTTTTTTTCCTTTATTAGACGACTAATATATATGATTTATTCATGGATAATGTATTGAGAAATTGTTCTTTTGAAATATTCCTTAAAACTAGTCTAACGTGAAAGTTTCGCAAAGAATGCTTTAGAGAATATTTCGTCTTGTTAATCCTTTCCGGTGTTCGAAGCCAATGTGACCGATCAAGCTAAAATTTTTACCACAGATAGAGCACTAAAAATAAAGATACATATATTCGGAGAAAAAAAATCTTGAAGTGAACTTTTGCGGGTTCTCTTGTATAGAAAACTCTGGTTGCTTATGATGCCTATCTAATTTTCTTCAAGCGGACTGAAATTTTTGCCACTGACACACTTGGAACTATTCTCTAGAGGCAACAACAGGCGTTTTCGTTCTTGATTTTCCTATCTGGAATTTACAGAATCTTAAAAGGCAAGATTCTGATTTTGATATATAGTCTTAGATTCTTCAGAAAACGCTTTGCAGTTCTATTGGATCAAGTTCAATGATGGTTGTAAGCAATTAGAATGTGATCCGACGAGAGACCAAGCTTTTCCAAAAAAAAAAAAAAGCATAAATTCACTTCAAAATGTTTCTCTTCTCAAACACTTATCTCCACATTTGTAGTGCTTCTGTGTGTGGTAAAAATTTTCAATATGATTGGTTGTATTATCGTCGAGAACCACAAATAGCCAAAAAATGGGGGCGTACTCTTAAAAGATCACATAAAACAAACACAATAAAATTTCGGACATCCGGATACGTGTAATCCTTTTCCTTTTCCTGAACATCGTTTATGGATACATCCTTGACGGCCTCCTCGTTTTTTTTATTCGCATTAGGGTCTATGATAATGCCTACATCCTTATTTATTTGACATATGATGAGATGAGAGTGTGTCTGTATGTGTTGTTATTAGAAATCGTTAATAATCATTCGGTGACTTAGCGACGAGTGCAGCCCGGAAATAAGGAATGATTCTACAATACAGTTTGTACAAGACAAGAAAAACGACAGCGATTCTTCTATCCATAAAATACAAGCATGTATTTTCTATCATATGTTTCCAAGGCTTTTTTATCTGAAGCATGAAACAGAACAGATAGTATTAGTATTTTTTTTGTGTGATGAAGCCAAGAAATATAATATTCTAATAAAACAAAAAGGCAATATTGATTCAGAAATATAATTTAGAATATTTATCATTGAGTAAAATCAATGAAAATAAGAAAAATAATAAGTATACATATCATAGACTTTTGTTCTCGGTACAACTTTCTCTTATCGGGTTAACGTTAAGTGTTTTTTTTTTCTTCATAGTAAATTTATTATTTTTTCATTATAATTATAATAGAAGAATATGTAAATCATTTTCACTTACGAATTTTTATTAGAATCATCGTTAGTAGACATTGATGATGTTAAACTTAAATCGATCTTTGATGTTGGACTATTCCTAAGTGGTGTAACGTTTAACGTTGTTTTTTCTGATGCAGACCATCGATCTATTTTCTGCTTTGTGCTAGCCATCTTAGATTTTTTTCTGTTGCTTTATCGTACTCTTTACATATAGTAATATAGCAATATACATACGTCATATGTATATGATGTATTTTTTTCCTATATTTGCTGGCGTACACATACCCACACGCACATTATTTGAGATGACAGATTTTGTTATCGTATCCCGTGATCTAACTATTGGATAAAAAGAAAAATACGCACCCACACTCGAGAGAATCATATAATCAAGAGAGAAAATGAAATATTCTATACATTATTCGGCGCAATTTAGATGAAAGCTTAACTTAAGAGTCCTGAGGGATATTTTATTACATTATATGTATATAAGATGTTCAATATTGAGGAAATAGAAATTATTATGTTCGAGATACAAAAAAATAATAATTATAAGTTTTACTACAAGATTTCTTCTAACATATTAGAGTATAGAATATCAATGATTATTAATAAAAACTTTCTTTCAAAATAATTAACTGACAGTCTAGTCGAAATTTCATGTATGTCTTCTAAAATTTGAGTAAGTACAACAAATCAAGCATATTAATTATGTATGAAATGTATTTACTTCGGATAGTTACAGTAAGTTAACTAATCAGCCATGCGAAATTAATATATTCTCTAATCTGGAAGTGTTTTTCAAAGATTTAAAGGATTGTATCAAATATTAAGTTAAATTTAAGTTTTTAATAAATGAACGAACAAGATTTGCTATATATAAAACTTTTATCAAGATTTAATTATTTTTCATAGAAGTTTTTTTTGAAAATCGTAACGATGATGCTAATATAATAAAATATCTGTTCATTCTTTTAATTTTAATAATAATAATTATTTTGATTGAATCTATTCTTTTATATTTGTTGAACTTATTAAAATATTTTATTTAATGAATGAATGAATAAAACAAAAACATCATATTTTAAATAGGACTATTATATTCTTTTAAAAAGCTTTGATAATTTCTTGTCCTTTATTTAATTAAGAATCAATGATAAAAAAAAAACAGATAAATCAGTATCTTTTAAATTAAAAATGAAGATGTGGTTTTCAGATATCATCGCAAAAAAAAAGATTAAAATTATGGTAGCGGAAAATGAGATTTGTCTGTCTTACAAACATCAAGATTCTTATATTTGATAAAAGAAAAACAGAGATATCTCTGAGCAGTAAAGATAACGTGATGTTAATTAGAAAATATCTAAAGACTTTGTAAGATGTTTTTTTTTTTAATTTTTTCCTAATAAACAAAATTGTTCAACGTTTAATACAATCAATACAAAAATTTTTTAATTCTATTCACATTCAATACTAGATAAATAAACAAATAACAACATTTTACTTATGAATAAAATCCTTGATAAAAACGTCAAAATATAATTGAATATTTCTAAACTAACTCAATTTAGCTTTGATCATCATTTCTTTCAATGATAACTATGTTTCTTCGTTTTTCTTTTCTAATACTTTGTCTTATTACGTAATCCATAGATATGAATTAGTGCAATGATTTTTTTTCCATTGCTGGTCAATGCCATTTGTTGTTCAACTTAATTAAATGATCAAAACCACACTACTTAGCGATTATTTGTGTGTTTTATAATCATTCTCTCGAATGATGTACAAAGGTTATCTTTTCTATGACTTACTTCTCCTTTAATATAATTGCTTGTTTGATATCTGGAGGCTCTACTGAACAATTGACCTTGTTGACTATTGTCGTTTCTATTGTAGTATCTTCAATCGGAGATAATCGAGACAATGTACTAGCTGTTAAAGAGATATTTTCTTCTTGTTTTGAAGATTCATCATTATTACAATTTATCGACGACAAGCAACCGGTAAGTTTGCGCAGCACGTGCATTGTACATATACATTATCAAGAGAAAATTCTCAACTATTGGGAAACATACAGTGGAGAAAGAAAAAAAAAAAGAAAAGAAAAAACAACGAAACATAATATATCATCAATCAGAAATCTCGCTATACTAAGTCAACATAGGAGAAAAATGTTCGAAGGTCATTGCACAATGATGATATTATGCCTCTGTATTCATTTACTTGTTCATTAGTCTGACTATGATCGACAGGCACATGTTCTCATCTTTGATCTTTTCATAGTGTTGCATAATTTACAAAAACTTTTCTCCACTTGACAACAGAAATTAAAGAAATATTTAGCATATTAAATGCGTTTTCTATTTTTGACAAAAGTATTTATTTGACAACACAAAGCAAAAATTAAACTTACCAAAAGACATTAATAATATGAATAATAAGTTTATCTTGACCTTGATAGATTAATCTAATCAGTTTAGAAGTACCTATTTTTCTTGTCGTTATTGTTGATGATGATAGTGATGATAGTTAACTACTCCTTGTTGTTGATGAGTCAAAAATGCAACATATTTTTTTGTCTTTTAGATATCTCGACTTGTATAAGCTTGGACGAAAAAAAACAACAACTAAGGCAAAGAAAAAAAAAAAGACGAGGAGGAGAAGAAGAGATATAATTGTTCACAGGCAATCTTCGACATATACATATAGAGAAAAATGCCAACGGCTTAGAACAAAATACATAGATGAATAATACTTTCTGCGATGCTGTGTACAAGATTTTTTTTTCTTCTCTGAATGCTGCTTAGAGGATGATATTCAAACAAAAGAGAATACATTATCTCCTCCTTCTATTCGTAAGCATCGACAACAGCATCAAAACTCGTTTTTTTCTTCCAGTTCGATGCAATGATATGTACATATTCATAGTTACTCTATTCCTGACGACATAACAATTAATCCTTGTCAGACTGTTGATACCTAAGAAAAAGGCTGTAAGAAACAAAAGTTAGACTATGTCATTAAGATTTCTGTATCATAAACAATAACAGTAAATTGTTGTAATACAATTCAATGATCACTTGATGAATCATAACAAAACACATTTTAAATGAGAAATATATTCTTTCATAACTTTGAAATAATCTAATATTAATAATAAATACATGAGTTTTTCTCATTATAAATTATTCTATTGAATAAAATAATAATAAAAACAAGAATTCAAATAAACATGAAAAAGAAAAAGATAAACATAATACGATGTCAAATTGTGCAATTTATATATATATATATATATATATTAAGAAGTTTTAATGGATTTAATTGTAAGAATATAGATGAAATTCTGTTTCCTTCCGTTCATCTTTCATTTTTGTCATTTCATATTTTACTATTAATCTTAAATAAGTTAGTCTTTTTTAACGCCCACATCAACATAATTTCCGTCGGAATTTGTTTCATGAAAAAAAAGAAGAAGAAATACTCAAGTGCGCAATCTATTTCGCTTTGTTTTCTTGAATTCAAAAACTTTATGATTCTTAGAAATAGAGTATTTCAATCTATATTTATATTTTAAGTCTTTTCTTGGATATATATATTTATTTCCATATATTAATAATAATCAAAATACTGCTAGAGGTGTGGCACGCACGCAATATGAAGTGTTAGCATAATATTTTATTTCTAGTATTATTTTATTCTTCTTTTTTTTTTTTTTGTTTTTGTCCTCATTGTTCTCTTGTCATCGACAAGCATAACAAAGCTCAAGGCTCAATTGAGAAAAGAAGCAGATAGAAAAAAAAAAAAGAATAAATATATATATATACGACGACGACAACGACATCAACGGCGTATATAAAAATAAAGAGTATGGTTAAAAAAAAAGAATTTTCTCTCCTTTTTTTTTACCGTTTGTTAAGAAAAAAAAAGACTATAGTTTTACTAATTTGATTGTTTGCTATTATTATTTTTCTTTTCTTTTGTCTTCCTTTTTCATCTTACTACTACTGTTATTATTAAAATTGTGATTGGAATATTTCCGTGTATGTTCTTTGCTGATATAAAAGAAAAATAATAGCATCAAGATAAGAAAAAGATATTTTAAGTTTTAATTAAAAAAACAAAAACAAAAAAAAAAAAGGCTTTTTGATTTTTTTGTAATAATATAACAAAAGAAAAATGGTATGTATTTATTTAATATTTCTTCACTTTGATTAATATAAAATTGTAATAAAAGTGAATAAATTATTTACAAAAAAACTTTTTAACAAATGACTACAAGATAATTTACTTTTAGAATGCATTTGACGTAATCACACTTAAGTAGGCATTTTATCTTATCGGAATTTGGATATATGACGTGAATGATTAATTAGAATTGGTAAATATTTTCATGAATAGTAAAATACATTTTTTTCTCTTGTTTTTTTTTTTTTATATTTCTGCATTTGTTGATCGATGATAGACAGACGTGACTGCTTGTAAAACTGACTTTATTATGTTTTCATATATAGAATTTCTGTTTTATTTCTTCTATTGGTGAATACGAAGGATTACCAGCTTTTAATACACCTCAATGTGAAAATCTCTAAAGAATTGTTCGCCTCTTTTCTAGCACACTTGTATCGATCACTATTTTTCTTTAGAATAGATATTTAATATTCAGCCTCTAGACATATGAGAAAAAACAAGACAATGGAAAATTGAGAAGGAGATAAGGGAATTCTAATATGAATGAAATATTGCAATCATAACCAGTCGATATATGTTCAACTAAATAGATATCGGACATTGTTGGTGACATATATGCTTAAACAGACTTATAGGCAATTTCCTGTTTTGAGAAAATCGGGTAAATTATAATCAAAATTCATATTATCATACAACATTCATCTTTAGTGCAGTATGCGTGAAAATATAAATAGTTTTTTTTTTTTTAATAAGCACAATTGTGAAAACTAGTTTTTTTTCTTATGTGATTTGCTTGTTTATGGTGAAGGCTATTATAATGACCTAGAGCTTTCTTCCTTTTGAAACCTGCCAATTATAAGCACATTGAGAAAAGTATTTTGAAAGTTGATTAAGCTTTTTATAACAGTGTTCTTCTGCTGTGAAGTCGTCCTGTCTATGGAATATTTGTTGTGAGAGGATTAAGATGCTTGCTGATTAAAAGTCACGCATATAAGACCATTAAATATAGGTGATATGCAGTTGTAATAAAAAAAAAAAAAAAGGAAATAGGATTCCTGATCTTCTTGAATATTGGTGCACATAGGCTTCCACGCTTTTACTTTTCTTGATCTTAAGTCAAACTGGGTGTATTATAGTATTTCACTACTATGTAATCTGCTCATCAAAGCTATACGAGAGAAAGCCCAACGACGTCAACAGCGATGGCATTGCGATTGAAAAGACAAAAACACTCATTCATTCACTCACACTCACTCATTCCGTCACTTTCCTTCGTATTCAAAATACGTCAAGCAGTCATTTGCTCGCTTAGTCTATTAGTATTCAAACAAACAAAATGCAAGAACTACGTTAGTATGTCTTCATGTTTATGCATGCTGAATAACCTTAGTTAATATATTAAATATAAAAAGATGTCGATGGTTAGATAAATAAGATTTTTTTCTTTGTTTTATTTTTTTTTCTACATATATCTATTTACTTTTCTCGTTATTTGTTCAATGATTAGAAACGAATCTCATGAGAACGTGTTCACTATTCCATTTTTCTTCTTTATCGTCATCTTCGTCTTTTATATATATATGTGTTTGAGTTGTTAGCCGGAACCTTTTTTGTTTTGTATCAAGCTTTGTAATTACACAGCAGTGGCATCTGTCTTGTGAGGAATTGTAATTGTGTCTTGCACGCAATCATAATAATAGATCGTTGAACGTCAACGTTGCGTGCCTACTTTGACACACGAAACAAAGCTTATACTTTTGAAATAGAAAATCCAAAAAACGTTTTATGTGAGATCATGACGCAATGAATGGTTTCATTTTCTTTTCTTTTCTTTTCTACTTTCTTTTTTTTTTTTTCTTTTGTACTCATCTAACATTATAGAAAGCAATCTTAGTCACTTGTTGATTATATTTCACGTTTATCGGTGTTGTTCTTCCTATTATGAGACTTTGACTGCTGTTAAATGATGTAGTATATAAAAGAAAATTCATTGCTCATAGTCTCTTCTCGAAGAAAACAATAGAATGTAAAAGAAAGTAGACGAGAAAAAGAAAATGAAAGAAACAGGAAAGTGGTCTCTTTGCTTTTAAATAGCATTCATCTGAGAAGTTGAATAGAAATTATTGACATAATGCTTGTCTTGACATATCTATACCTAGGATAATCTACATCTTTTATTCATTGTATAAAAGCATATAATAAAATTATTTATTAACATATATTGAAAGATAAGTTATTAATTTAAAGAAATCTTTTTGTTCGATTTTTCTATACGAACTAATTTCAGATAATATATAGATACGTATATATATATATATATATACATAAACGATTCTATATTTTTTTGATATGATTGTCGTCATTATTTTTGTAAAAAATAAATTTTTTTGTTTTGTCTATTGTTAAACAATACTAATATGACGACAATGATAAATGAAAAGTATCAAGGGCATTAGTCATTATGACAAATATTGAACAACAGATATCTATAGATGTGAATCAATATTTTCTTGTTAACAATGAAAGTGAGTATTCATCCATAGATGAGCTGTCACACTGACAAAAAATATACTCATGTTAATTAGTTTTTTTTTTTCTATGTTACAGATGACGTCTATATTTACTTTGATTTTGAAGAGTGATGACTTGTTCTTCTCTTTTTCTGTCTTCTGCTTCTTCTTTTTCTTCATCATCATCATCATCATCATCTTCTTCTTCTTCATCATCTTCACTACTAAAGATTGAAAATAATTATCAAAGTAATTCATTTCTATTTTAGGCAATCCGAACACATTTTAATCAGAGAAGTCTGGCATTCATTGTGCTTATAAGTGGTGTTCTCGGTGGTCTTCTCATTGTTTTTTCGATTTTATTACTATGCAAATATTGTTTAAATCGAAAGAATTTGAGGTAAATTATGATTATTTTTAATTAGAATATTTTTGTTTATATTTGTTTTATTTTTGTAGAGAAACCGAACAAATGAAACTTTTATACGAAACATTAAATCAAGCATCATTACTCGATTCAAATCGTTTGTATCATCGTGGTATTGGAGAATTCTCACCGCTCGAACCACGTCGATCAAATCCACTTGATCGATATCAAGTTGCCGAGTAATTTATTAGAGAAACACGTATTTTGCCGTACTGAAATTTACAGTTGACTTTCGGCAATTGCAGAAAGTTCTGTCTTGCTGACAGCGACATTGGAATTATAATATAAGTTTTGGCAATAGCTCAAAAACCTGGATTAAGTAATAAATCCACTATTTATAGCATGTATATGAGTATTCATTTCACTCTACTCTCACATCCTTTTATAAAGCTTTCGGCAATTTCAAAAATATAGTTTTATTAAGGATGAAATTTTAATGTATGACATGAATTTTGGCGATTGCCTAAAGTCAACTGTGAAAGTTAATACTAGGAAATTTATGCTTTTCTTTTGATTAATAGTTTGTTCTTTTTAACAAAAAAAAACCAAACTGTTAACTTGTTTTTGTTTTTTTAAATAGAGAACAATGGCAAATACCTAGTTCGAAACAAGGAACATCAGACTATCATTCATCAAATGGTCAAAATTCACAACATAATCAATCTTATCATGAAAATCGAGAACATATCAGTAAGTATTAATCGGAATGGTTTAAAGTCACTAAGATTGAGCAAAGCAGTCATCCTTTCTTACAAGACTGATGATTCGAAGAAAAATAAGAAAATCATTCATTTTCACTGGGAAAACAACAAAAATTTTCCACGATCGAAGAAGTTATTCTTCCGCTCGGAATATCCTTGGCTGTTAACCTTACATTTTAATAAATTAGTCACATACTTAGACGTACATTTCTTAATCAATTCAGGTTTTTTTCTTGTTAACGATAATTATCTTTTATATCGAACAAAAACAAAGCCAATAATATTTTTCCTATAATCAATCAAATGAATACTCAATGATTCTTTTGTCTTTTTTTTTTTTATAGGTAACAAACAAAATGAATCGTATGTAGATTTAAGAATATTCTTTTCTTTTTCTTTTTTTTTAATTTAATTTTTTAAGTCACGTGTTGTATAGAAATGTTAATATGGATGATGAACAAGCATATTTGCAAGTTGATCCACGTTGTTATGTTCGACAAAATTCAAATCTTTCATTAACGACACATAGAAAATCAGATACACCACGTCTTGAAAAAGGTCATTCACTTAATGTTGATACACGTTCATCACCATCAACAACTTCCTTATCACCTTATCGTCAAAGTAGTTTTGATGTTACTTTTGCTTATCGTTCTCAACCACAACCATTGATATCATCGCCTGCATCTTCAACACAACAAGATATATATTATACACCACGTGGATCAAGTCTTTCTGTTGTTGGTAATCCATTAACAAATATATCAACAACATCTCAACATTTATCTCCACCTACACCTTCCACAAGTCGAAAAAATTCTTCTATTATTATTGTTGAGAAAAAAGATCTTACAGCAACAATTGATCCATTAGGTTAAATAGATTATTTATAAAACAAAAAAAATTGATAAACAAATAATTAAACAATTTTTTATTTTCATTATAGATCAAACTTCAAAAGTACATTTATCAGTTGCACAACGAGATCAAGAAATTTCTCGATCACTTGAACAATCATCATTACCAGTTGAACAAATATCATCATCTAATTATACTACAATTGATAAACAATCTCGTAGTTTTGATGCTGTTCATCTTTTACGACCTGGTACAAATCGTGCTGATGTTGTTAATCGTCGAACAAAATCTTATGAATATGCTGATGATCATCGTTCATTAATAGCATCTGTTGCTCCACCACCTATTGTTATTAAAATTCCTGATATGACTGAACTTGTTCAAGCAGCTCAATTATCTCAATTAAAAAATCGAAGAGGAAATACTGATATGGTAAATATTTATATTATTTTCTGGTGTTGGTTTTTTTTTCTTCTTTTCGTTATTAAAAATGTTTGATGTTTTTTTTTATTTTTATCTATTTAGGAAGAATATCAAAGAAATACAAGTCGTAAAGCAACTCTTGTTCAACAAATAAGTATAAATGAACACGATGATGCAACAACAGCATCCCATGATCTTTGGCGTTTACGTCAATCATATGAACTTGAAGAACAACAATTCGATCGAACGTCACCCGAAGATTTCTCACCAGATTTATTGACGTCAACATCAATTGATTCAGCTGGAGCTATGCCTATTCATAATAGTAATAATAATAATAGTATGATTACTACTGGCGGTAATGGTGGTGATGATGATCCATCAAAATATCAATATCGTCGTAAAAGTTCATCTAATCTTTTATTACCACCACCAGAAGTTCGTCGTCAAGCTCTTCGACGTACATTTGAGAAACGTCGTAGTTGTATTAATCAATCAAATATTCGACGTGAACAACAATTACTTAAAAATCAAAATGATTTAGATGATGAAAATAATAAAGATTCAATGATAGATTTTTCAAGTTTATTAAATAATTTTAATTCTAAAAGTGAAAATTCAAGTTTTGAACGAAGTCTTGAAACTGATTTTGATATGCAATCAGATACAAGTAGTCGAGGTCCAAATGATCAATTTACATCAATTGAATCATCCGGAAATGAAAATGCTTTACCTGATGTTAGTTATCGACGACAACAACAACAGCAGCAACAGCAACAGCAACAACAACAACAATCACCACCTCAAGATGATAGCGGCTATAAATCGTTAGAAAGTCAAAATCGAACAATTAGTTTAGATTGGATGTCACATGATGGAGCCGAAAGTGTTATCTATATTGGGGATCAACGTATTCAACAAAGGAGTGTTGATATTAAAGATTTGGATGATGATTTAGCTCAACAACAACAACATCAAAAGCAAAAGCAACAACAACAAACAAATAACAACCGGTAAACAACAGCTTGTTGATTTTCAAAATAATTTTTCTGCGTTTTCTTACTGATATTGTAGTTCAAAAATTCTTCAGAAAGGTCTTCATCATTCCTATCAAGAAGCATCAACAAATCTTATTCCTCCAAATTCATCAAATTCTAATATGATGCAACAACGTAGTTTATCAACTAATATACCACTCGTTCAGAATCATAAACCAAATCGAATTAATCTTTTGGTATTACCAAATACAGATCAAGCAAATTCAATAAATAATAATAAAATCGTCTCATCAGAATCATTTATTCGAACAGCAAGTAAAAGACGACGAGAATTTGGTAAAGATAAACGAAATGTTTCATCAAATGTTATTCCTTCACATATGACATCTGATGAACAACAAACAAAAGTTTATCAAGTAAAATAAAATAAATCAGTCGATAAATGAAAAAATTGTTTTGAATAGATTAATGAAACAAATACGAAACCTCCATCATCATCATTACAAGTTCGACATCCTGATCTTCGTCGAACGAAATCAGATGATGCAAGAAATTTAATTGTAGAAAATCAAGATGGTAAGAAATTTATTTTCAACAATTGCTTTCATGTTTTTTTCTTTGTTGAAATAGATTCATCTACAAATGAAATAGCATTAAATTCACATGAAACAAAGTCTGATACTCATATATCCTCTACGACTAATGGTATACTTGTTCCTACTTCATCTTCAAATACAACTCAACAACATCTTTCTCCTAATATGATTAATACAGTTAATTCTCGTCATATTCTTCAACGTTCACCATCTTCAACAACATCATCAGCTAGATCTAATTCGCCAGCAGAAGTATTTCGTTCTCAACGTGGTTCAATTTCATTTGATACTCAAACACCATTAATCAATCCTTCAATATTACCTACAACCAATAAAACAAAAATCTTAACAACATATTCAATTCTTCCAACCTGTATAACTAAACCTCGTCTAAAATTTAGTATGGTACGTGATACAGCTATGGCTAGTTTTAGTCATAATGCACCCGTTTATTCAATGCCAATAGCACGTGATTATAGTATTGATGAAAAAACAAATCGTATTGTTAATGAATTTCTTATGCATGATCCATCATTAGACAAGAAAAAAAATACTAATGATGATATTTCATATCGTGGAACACCAAAACGTCATCATCATCGTACACGACAAAAAACACTTGAAGAAACAGTATCAATAAATAACATACAAAGGCAATCCCCACAACAACAACAATCTCGATCACCAGTTAATAAACAACGTCATCATAGTTCTTTACAGACGAGTATGCGTAAACATACTCATAATCAATATCCATCTGTACATCTTCCTGATAATATGGAACAAGAAGAAGATAGTAGTGATCCAGCATTGCCTTCATTAAAAATTAATCAACAATCAACAGTTACTGTACGACGAGATAATAATCTGACAGTTGAATCTCCATCAATTATTATTACTGGTGATGATAGTGGCAGTCAATAATAAATGAAATTCCGGTGGATATAGTTTTTCTTTTGTTCTTTTTTTGTGCATATATATATATATTTATGACATTGCGTCTATTTTTGTTTATATAGACCTCTTTCAATTTGGTTTTTTGTTTTTTTTTTCTTTTTATTGCTTGATAATTTCATTTTTTTGGTCAATACAGTTGTTAATATTTCATATATATCTCATGTAATATGAAAAAAAAAAAAATTAACAACAACAATGATAATAAATAATAATTATGGTTGCTTTCGCTCATTTCTCTAATGATTACTTTTTTTTTCATATCGACCAAATTCATGAGGGATTGGTTTTTATATGTCATATTAACCTTTTCTTTAAAAATACTTGATAATAACTTGAGCTTTTATTTAAATGATTCGAATATTTAATATTATCATATTTCTTTTGTTTTTTTTCTATTAAGAAAATTCTTCAGATGAATTTCATTTGGAAAAAACAAAAACATTTTCCATTATTTAATAAAATCATTTTTGAGACTAGTGTTACTTGTAGAAAATCTATACCCAACAGATTAAGTAAAATAGAATAATTTTAAGAAAATATATGACTGTGATTGTCAACCATTTCAAATGATAGATAAAAATATTCATTAAGCATATGTTTCCACATGTGAGAATATACATTTTGATATAACTACCATATTTCCATGTGCTAATGGAACATACATCTGATATTACTACATCTCAATATGTCTAGAAAGAGTCTAGATAACGATTACAATGAGAAGATAAATGATCTACTTAAACACGTAGTGTTATTTTCATAAATCAAATTGGAGGTTTATCAACTCTATATATTATGTCATCGAAGATATATTGAAGGTTACAATTAGATAAGAATGTTTCATTGTGCTAAAAATGTAAACAATTCGAAGATTATCTTAAAATACCTTCGAAATAACTATTCTTAACAATGTTTAGTCAATTTATTCGATGTTGATGAGCAATATTTTCCTTATAAAATACAAAAAAGCTACATAGAACGGATAGTTTAGAAATTCTGACTTGTGTTTAACAATAAATATTATCAAACGAATAAATGTTCTCGTAGACCTATCTATATAAAATAAAACAGAAGTAGGATAAAACGAGCTGTCCAAAATGAGTATAAATTAATTCTACTAGTTCATTTAGTAAAAAACTTATTAGTCTAGAAATCTCTATGATATTTAGAAGCAAAAATTAATTATTAATAATGTACTCCTTCAAAATGAAGTAATATAAAATAAATGTGTTTAATTTAAAAGACAATTAAAAACTAAATTTCATTGTTGTTACAACTTAATAAATAGTTCATGTTTATAATTACAATAATATTTTAATGCTATTATTATTATTTTTTTCTTTATATATTTCAGAATCATCTGCAGACTTTATTTTGATATATTGTATTTTACAAATCTTTATATCGATGAACGAACTCTTTTATTTTGACCTATAAAATACAATTTTAAATATATACTTATGTTTCATAAATTATATGATCAAGATTCATAGTTTACGGATGTTTAATACTCATATTACTTTATTTCATGTCACTTAATACACTATCATCTGTAATACTTTGTTCTATGCTGTTTATTTCATTTTTCTTCTTTAGTCTATTGTTTAGCAAATCTCAGAGATCATAATTTTGAATAATTTGATTTTACTGTTTTTGATTTGATTCATGATAAGAATCTTTTGAATTCGCTAAAATTTTTATAATATTTATTCTATATTGTTCTGTATGGTCATATTCAATTTTGATAACAATTTAAATATACTTATTATAGATCAAAACAAAGATGAATAAATAACAACACGTACACGGTTAATATTTGATCAATTAGAAAATTTGAATAAAGAGATGTTGAAGATTATGGTTTCGGAGTATTGCTAATCAAAGGTTTAAAGAACAAAATTTAGTAGATTCTATGAAATAAGATATTAGAAGTGATGGACTATTAAGTAACATGAAATAAGGTAATTTGAGTATAAACGTCTGTGAATTATAAGTCTTCATGACATAATTCAGAATACATAAATATACATTTAAAATTACTTTAGGTCAACGAGAACTTGGTTGATTTGAATTAAATTAAATTTACTTCTGTTTTGAATGAAATTTAAATAAATAAAACATCGGATAAAGTACGAACATGATTCTGAGATACGTGAAGAAAAGAATAAGAACACTATCATTATAAACATGACCTATTTATTAAATTTTAGTATCAAGAAGATTTATTTATTATTAGACTAACGAGAGCTTCGTTTCTGAATGTCCCATTACTATTTGATCGAAACTATATTAAGGCGGTAGACCATGCTGCATAGTATCAGAATCTAAGAGAGTCCAGCTGTCTAAGCCTTCATCTTCGAAATATTACTGATTGCTTCAAGAAAAAAGCTGTGCCTCATCACGTAATATGAAAAGTCGACTTTTGAATTTCGACTTCAAAATTTCCATGAACAAAGTTCTCGATGAAATTAGCCTATTGAAGAAGTTTTAGCTTATCTAGTATTTACTTTCTGACGAAAAGTTACAACTTGACGAATGAACTGATCTCATTGAGAGTTTTGCTTGTGTAAAGTATGAAGCCAAAACTTAGCAATCGACTTTCTACATGATCTGAGGAAGACGAAATACTCAGTGGAATTTCGATATGTCAAGAACGAAGATCTGAAATACCAAACTATTTTAGACTTTTCGATGATTTACTGTTATTCATCATATAAATACTGCCTTGGTCAATGAGTGATTTAACACCTGGAGAGATACTCTTGTAAGGGGTGGCTAAACGAATCAATTTGTATTTCAAAACTACTTTAGAATAATTTTATGATCAGATAAAATAGGTTTTCAATAGACAAATCACTTGTCTTCTGATTTTTACCTTTTTTTTTTAAATGAATTAATTTTTTAAATCTTTTTATGAAGCATTCTGATCTGACAGTTCTGAGTCTATCAAATTTTCATCAGTTTTTTTGCTAATCTACTTTTTAATATTTGATTTTTATTCCTGTATGTGAAAAGTTGTCAACACCAACATGAAGAACATATAATAGTTTAATTCATCAATGATGTTATTTATTTTCTCGAGAGAATTCTTTCGTTTCACAGAAAGACTTAATACACGCTACGAGTTATATATAGTTAACGTATTAGATATTCAATTAATTATAAAGTAATTTAAAAATATTTTCACAATAGAAGTTGATTAGTTCAGTCACACTTAGCCTAAAATTTAATCTTTAACTTACTTTTAAATGTAATAGACATTTTAATATTAAATGAATTACAACTATTGATTTATACTTATTTTGAATAGTTCTTTTTACTTAAAGCTTTTCTATATAAAAAAAAAACATTATGCGAGAATATTTATAAATTTCAAAATATTTATCATAAACAAAACGAATCAAAATTTCCTGGTCGCCTTTTAAATATGTAAATACATATGATGATAGTGATCGGTTTTTATCGTTTTGTTTATATAACCTAATTTGTAGGCTAGATCAATCATTCTTCCGATAATTGAAAGTAAATTTATTACAATATGAAAACCTTTAGCAATTTATCGTGCATTAAAGATGGAAACTACCGATAAATGCTACTTCAGACTATACAATATCCACAAAAAACTGAGAGTTAAAAGGACAAAAATTTTAGATCACAAAAGGTAAGGTGATGTCCTGATCTAATTAATAGTAATTCACCGAACTGATCAGTTTTATCATTCTACAAGACATTTCTGAATCAACCGGACAAGACCAACTGAAAAGTCTCGACTAATTACAACTCTAACACAATCTCAATTGAAACTGATTACAGCATTACGATATGTATGTTCTTCCTTTCAATAATATTTGTGTCGGAATGGAAAGTTTTAGGAATTTTTATATCATTAGAAAAAGAAAGCATTTAAATAAAAATAAAATTACAGAAAAACATTGAAAAAATTAGTTTCTTTTTTTAACTAATATTTAATAATCATTTGAGTTCATTAAGATAGCGTTGATCAATCCGTTTTTTCACCACTTTTATTATTGCTGGATTATATCTTTGTTGTTGTTCAAATGTTAATGTATTACATTCATTTTTACTTGATATTCTTCCAATAACTTCTCGTTCAGCCATTTTTAAATCGAATTTTTTTATGTGTATATTATTTATTGTTTGCATATTAAGTATTGAATTATTTTCTCCTTCACCATGTGCAACTAAAAAAAAAATGAGAGCATTCAATGAATTGAAATTATGTATCAATACTTCGATTGCATGTTTGTGTTATTTTACGAAGTAAATTATATAATGGGTTATTTTTTACGTCAAGTTCTTGTGGATTAGTAATGTGTGGACCAACTATAAAAATTGAAAAAAAGAGATTAATAATTGAGAATTCTTTTCTTTTGAATTTACACACTTGAAAGTTGAGAATTTATTCTATATCTTAAATTCGGTAGGAAAAATTGAGCAATAATTGATTGTAATTGATGTGTTTCGATCATAGTCGGTTTATTTTGTAGAATAAATTCAATCTCTGATGTCTAAAACGAAATAAACATCATAGAAACAAACTAATCGCTATACATTTCAAAATATATACTTTTTAGTGACGGACAAAATTCTAGAGTCATTCGAAAAAAAAAAATGTTTGAGTTGTTACAAATGTTCTCTATCAAGATTGGCGGGCTTAAAAGTTTCAATTAAACTGCTTTGGTGAGGATAAGACTAGTAAAATCAGTTTCCTGGCATCTGTTTGAAGTTTTTTTGAAAATGGTTTTATTTGATAGAACAAATATTTCACAGCTAAATGAAATGTCTTGGCTCTCTTCATGACATTCCTTCATCAATTTACAGAAGGCTCCAAGTAGCATTTTTCTTTTAATTTCATAAAAAATACTTACTCTATCGAATAAAATCATTTCCTAAAAGCTTTGAATGTCTTGGTTTTTCAAACATTTTCATCTAAGTAATTATATCGAAATTTTTTAAGACCATTAATCTTGATAGAGAATCTTTGTAGTTTCTCAATATATTTTTTAGATTCTTTCTAGCTATTACAAACGACTAGAAAAACTCAAAAAATATAACTACTCTAAACTTATGTTCATTAGTCTATATATCCATAAATAGCGAACCTTTTTACATTTCATTAATAAATCCTTCAACGCTATAATGATTGCTGTTGCAATGGCTGGTAGAAGTTCATTATGAAATTCAGATATATCACGAGTAATCAAATATTGATCCCAAACAAATAATAAGGAATTAGTTGTAAGACAACCTAGAAATACATAGAAGATTTTCATAGATTGATCTAAATATAATAGCGTTATATTAGAGATGTTTCTTTTTTTCTTGCATATTTTTTTTTGTCGTTATTAGTTTTATAACTGTATGTAAATACTAACTAACAAACATATATTTGAACCATTTATAACAATATTTTCTTAGTAAAATTAACACAGAACTTGTATCAGTTGTTGACTTGTATGCGCCTGAAAAAATAGAAGTCAATTGTTTGTTGAAATAAAATTAAAGTATAGTGTTACAAACGTGATGAATGAAGAATGTTTTGTATATGTTTGTGAATAGATTGATCAACGTTTTTCAAATGATTTTCAACTTTACAAAACCATGGTTCAAGTTCTTCTGTTGAATTCTAAATTAATAACATATGTTTTTTAAATAAAAATAATTGAAATATATCATTATTTACATTGGAATAAATATTACATAATATTGATGGGATTGTTTCCAAAAATGTTTCATACATTTCAATTAAAATTGCGAGTGATGTTAGATAGGATTCTTCAGAACTAAGAATAATTGAAAACATAATACAAAATAATCTATTATGGTGTTGACAATTCAAAATTTGATCTGTGTTCTTTTTGTCATGGTTGGATAGAGCTAATCGATTTTCCTTTAAAACTATTATTTTCGATAGATTCAAACGATGTGTTCGTAGTTGGCTTAAAAAAAATTAGAAAAGCCTAGAAAAATTTACATAAATCAAAATCATCAAGTCTTACTAGTTTCAATACTAATTCGAATATTCTTTTTATTTTTCTCATCATATGGTTAGGAAAAAAAATGGTGTTTTTCAATATAATAGTAAATCACCATAAATACAAACTTGTACTCAAAGATTTTCAATGTTAGAACTTCCGTTTCAAACGAAACCAATATTATACTCAAAATCAATAGAAAATCTGCATAGAGTGATATAATCATTACTTGAAATAAGTTTTTTGTCAAATTTTGAGCCTATGAAGGAAAGCACAGGTGTCACCGTATTCGAAAATAATATTGAGGTGTAAGGATTAATATTTGACAGAAACTTGTTATAAATATTGAGTAGACTTTTTTAGTGCAGATTTTTTTGATAATACTGAATATGGTGCTAGGACTATTGGACACTCGGAATTGTAGAACACGTTAGTCTTAAAGTATCCTAAAGAAAACATTGAAAGTAAGTGAGTTTGAAGGTGTGTATGAGAGTACACAAAAGATCTTCACTCACAGCAACACCTACACACGTCCTTCGATCACCTGAATATGATATTCGTTTCATTTGGAACTGAAGTTCAAATGATCAAAATCTTTTAATACAAACTCGTATTGTTTTGTTGTCTTCTCGAAAAAATCAATTTTCCCGGTAATATTTTTCAAAAAGCATGTAGAACTTTTTTCTTACGAAAATGACGAATAGTTTTCCTGATTTCTTTCTTTTTTTTGAAAAACTTTATTTTCCTAAGTTTCACTACAAAAACATCGCCTGAATATATCAAAGATAAGATTTTTTAGGTAATTCGACCAGTTCTATCCAATCGTGACAACAAAAATCTAGATGAAATTTCAAAATGTCAGCATCTTAAAAAAAAAAGGACAATCCATTCAATAAAATAAAACTAGGCTAAATAGATGTATCATTGTTTTTAGTATATTAATTTATGATCAAATTTACCTTGATAAAGGTGTATTATGTGAAAGTACAATTGGTATTGCATAAAAATATTCAGCATTAGACAAATCATGTCTGTAAGGAAAAAGTGAACGATGATAAGAGAGTATTGCTTTCACTGCATTCATATTTCCTAATCGATAAATTTCACGGAAAAAAAAAAAGAAGTTTTTATTTAACGAAGAAAAATTTACCTTTAGAATTGATCATATCAGGTGCACTTGGTAACATTCCAATTAGACGATCAGAATTACGTTGAACTTCAGAATCCATTGGTGATAATACAATACGAGGATCAGTTGCCAAATCATTAAGAAACTTTTCACGATCTAAAAATTTTAGTAGATATAAAACAAGATTTATTACTTCTTTGTATTTAAATAGTAGCTTTCAAATATAGAATCATAAATCAATGCTCGATCTAAGATTATGAACAGAGCAGATAGAGGAGGAACTACTTTAGAAAGACAGTTGATAATCAATAGCAAAAATCACTCTCTGAGATTCATCGAACGTAGTATAAGTTAATTTCTTTCGTTCATTTTTGCAAGAAAACAAAACAAAAATATGTCTTTACGATGAGAGCATTCTTCGCTCTACCTTCCGACTTTAATTTTCTATTGTTATTAATATCTACAGTGCCTATGGTTACTTAACTAAATAAATTGCCAATCTCAAAAATAAGATTATTCTGATATTTTAAGTAATTAGATATCATACGACATGTTATTGTTAATATCGAAAACAGTTAATTGTAAAGTTCTGTCAAAGATATAACATCAGTTTTACGATTTTGATGAAATGCAACTGTAAATTTACATATTCATATTATCAACAATACTATTCTAGATGAATTTTCAACCTTTTTTCAGATATTTCGATCTTTTCTCACAACCATCATAATACATTTTAAACAAACATCCATAAATCTACGAGTGATTAAATGCATCCTATTTTACTTTTATGTTTACTCACTTTTTAAAGTTGGAAGAATATTTTCGTCCTTTTAAATGTTTGGGTGGGTGTGGGATGTGAGTAAAAAACAAATACGCTGATCCTCTCATATATGGGCCTATAGCCCATATCCAATAGTGGCGTGACCAAGGTAGGGCCAGGGGGGCTCAGCCCTACCACCGGTGTTAGCATCGTCAGCTGAATTCTCTTGCAAGCCCTACCATTCCACAGACCTCAGTAACCTGAGCCCTACCACCGGATATTTAAGCGTTGCTGAGCCCTACCATCGTCAAAACTCTGGTTACGCCGCTAATATCCAAATGGACTAAACAGCTTAACGAATTAAAAGGAACTCAAGGGTGGAAAATATGAAATTCATAGTAGCTTGAAAGATGTACAAGTGAAACGAGATAAATTTAATTCCTTGTGAATTCATTCAAACATCTTTCATTTTTCAACAGAAAATTCATATCGATTTTTTTTACAAGTTCTTTTTCTTTCGAAAAGAATTTCTATATCGAAAAGAAAATATGGATTTTTCAATAACCTACGTTTAATATTCGATAAATATGGATACCAACTAACAAAACGTATTGAATGTGGTAATGAATGATTGAAAAATGTATGTAATTTATATTTGTTATCAGACCATTGATGTAAAATATCAACAATTTCATCATATATTTTCTTTAAAATATTATCATTTTGTTTAGGTAAAGAATTGTCCGTAATATCTAATTGGGAAATTCCATCATAAACATTGTTCTTAATTAGATTCAAAATTCTTTCATTAAAATCATCATCAAGATTTGCTGAATACAATAATAATTTTTTTGTTTTTTAATTTTAATTTCTAGAAAGAACGAAACAAAACTTACGTTTTCTAATAGGATTTGTTTTTAAATTTTGTGCAACTTGTCGAAGTACAAGACTTTTTTCTGTATTAGATAAATCAGTAAAATTTTCAATATAATTTTCTGATGAATTTCCATTGATAATATTATGATTATTTGTTGTTAAATTTTGCCACTCCTAGAAAAATTTCTAATTAGATAATATTTTTTTTTTTTAGAATCTATTTATAAAAGAACTTGTGTTTTGTAAATAGTTTCTTCGCCTCGAGTACGACTTGTAGATAAGTTCGACATTCTTTTCTATGTTGTCTCTTATGTTTTGATATGACTATTATTCGATTAAATTCTTTTTATTTTTATATTAAATATTACAAACGGGAGGCATCTATTGAAAGATTACAGAATGGGAACAGAGGTAATGTTAATAGTGATGAAACAAAGAATGGTTGAAGAAAAAAAAAGATACTTGTTCAGTTGAAGAATTTTTTTTCTTTTCTGTCTTTTTGTCTTATAAATGGCATCAACATTGCGTTCAGCTGCTTCTGTACGTACTGGTGTTTCAGGTGGTGCACGATCTGGTGGTCAGGTATCAGGTTTAGCTCGAAAAACAGCACCAGTCGTAACACGACCCATTCGTACTTTACCTAAACTTATTGAAAATAATCAAGATGTTACACCAAAACGTCTTATTGATCCAGAACAATTTTTTAGTAAAGTTAAAGATTCTTTTCTTACACAAGATGTTTCATCAACTGTAAGAGCTTCAATGATCTTTATCTTGCAAAAATATCCTTTTTTTTTGTTTTCTATTAATTTAAATAGCCAAGTGAAGCTGCTTATTCAACAGCTCAACAACAAGTTTTTTCTGCAACGAAGTAAAAAAAAAAATATTTTATTTTTTGAATATATATCTATGATTGAAATAGATCAATGATAGGTGTTAGCCATGGTGGTGCACTTAATTCACATGGAACTGAAGCAGAAAGTTTTCCGTCAGAACAAGAAACTGATCAACTTGCTCAAAGTATAGCTATGTATAGCGCTGAACAAGGTTAACATTGATTTTATATATTAATTGAATAATTGATTAACTTATATTTAATTGCTCACTAGTTTATCATGAATGCTCAGTAGTTTTTGATCAGTAAAAAAATTAGTGCTAGCATTGTAATTAGTTTTAAAAAATTCAATATTTAACGGTGTAGGTGTTGACCTTCCTAATGGTAGCATCTATATTCCCTCCTGCATTCTACACTCAGAACTACACTCGACATCCATGTCTGTAGTGATACTCTACTAAGGACATGATTAGAAACTTTTCAAGAGAGATGCCAACTTGTTATATGGTTATATACTAGCAGGAAAATAATTTTTCGTCTGGGGAAAAAGCTTTTTATTCGTATTCACTCCAGATATCATTTGACCAAGAAGGATGCATAAGTAAGCCTCAGGGGTGGAACCGGTTGAGAAATATTAAAACGGTCCGGTCCGGCCGGTTGAAAAATCCTACCGGTCCAGTCCGGCCGGAAACCGGCCGGTTGGAATCACATGTTCAACCGGTGAAATTCCGGTGAAAACCGGTGGAAAAATGTCGAATTTTTTTTTGAAAACCGATTTTTAGAAAAAATCGCTCTAAATATGAAATAGTTTAAGGCGCATGTAAAAGACGCTCATCATAATGAATCTTTTTAAAGAGAACCTCAGGAAAAACGATGAATATAACATATGTTTTGAGCACTTTTTTACCTATTCTGACAGAAAAAACATGTGATACCTTAGTTTTTATGGTCAAAGACAGGATTAACAAAGAAGATTTTTGAAAAATTTCAACCGGTGAAATTCCGGTCCTTACCGGCCCGGTCGATTTCTTCAACCGGTCCGGCCGGACCGATTTCAACCCTGGTAAGCCTTATATCCTCTTGACTACGCCATCACACTCCATACCCACACCCTCTGAACGATTAATTCTTCTAAGCTTTTATGAAAAAAAAATATTGAACATTTAATGTATTCTTTAATTCATTTTATTTTTATTTTTTGTATTTAGCACATTCATTAATGTCATTAGAAGGTGAAATATCACAACCATTATTAACTCTTAGTGAAACAGAAACAATATTTATTTTAAGTTTGGATAGTTCTATTGTTGCTAATGATTCAAAAGACATAGAAATAATAAAACATGAAAATGAACGATATGTTGAAGTAAAAAACAAAATATAAAAAGAATATTTAATCAAGTTTCTTTTTTTTGTCTTTTAAATCTATATGTATATATTTAGTTATGTAAAAGTAAACAAGGTAGTGATGTATTTAGTGATCGTGGTATGAATACATTCAATAGTAGTGTTAAAAATAAAGAAGTTCAATGTGAACGATTAAGTTCTCAAGTAAATTATTATTTCTTTTGTTTGAAAGAAAAGAAAAAAAGCGAATTTTTTCTTTTAAATAGAGTCGAGAAGCATATGCATCAACTGCAGATATGTATGATTCAGAAAGAGGTGAAAGTAAAAGTATGTATTGATTTGAAAAATAAATTTTTAAAATCTACTATTCTTATCGTTTAGTTATACTTGCTAAAGGTACTCATGAAACACAAACAATCGATGATGGAACTATGCGTCTGGGTTCGTTATCAATATAAATATTTATTAATAAATAATGAACATAGTTATTTTTGATTTAATTATAGATCAAACACGTTCTTTAAGTGCTGGAGTAGATAAATCACATGGAACACGTCTTTCGGATCAATCAATGGATGAAACGATGCGAAAACCAGCTGCAACGAAAACTGCAAGTGAGGAAGCAAAAGTTCCAGAACCATTTGATGTAAAATTTATTGATTAAGTTTTATATGAAATCATTTGATTTCTTTTGGATTTTTTTTTTTTTTTAAGTCATCGAAAATTGCTTCATGTGTATTTATTATGGAACGAGTACTTAATTTGAATACTAATCAAACAAAACAAGCTATTTATCGAGGATTAACACCTTTGGTAGTCAAAGAAGAAAGTAAGTTTAATAGAAGTTAGTAAAAACAAAGGAATGTCTGGAAAATTAAATTCTTCTCCGCCTTCAGAAAACTTGATGTTCGTCAAAAAAAAATTTGTTTCTTTAATCAACATCTGAATATGTTGCCTAAGTTACCTAGTCTATGAATTTACAAAAATAGAGTTGATTCTCAAAGATTTTGGAAATATTTATAAATGATCTTTGAAATTATCTGCACAAATAATTACGTTTAAAACAATCGGTAAAAATTTTTTGTTTGTAGAGTTAGATCTACCAAATGAAGAAATATCTTTCAAAGGTAATCAAATCTTGCACATCTCAAAGACACAATATTAGGTCTACAATGACATGAGAATATAGATGTTAATCTTCTCTTTATTCACACCCACACCTACATCCTAAGCATACACCCTAATTTGTTACTCCTCTCACTATCTATTGTGTGATGTATCTCGTACGAGAACAATCTAATGTACAAAGAAAAGTGCTGTCATTGACATATAATACGTATATTTATGCTTCATCTTCACGAAGACTATATAAAAACCCAAATTTCTTCTATTTTTCTCAAAATTGATTTTTTTCGGTAATAATCCAACTTCGGATAAAGCTTCCCTCAATATACTTCATATTAGAGAGCTGTCTTTTTTTTTTCAATCAATTGATTTTTTCATAGTTCTTCATATAAGGAAAAAGAATTTTCTCACTAATTGCCAATGCTAGATAAACTCTGAGTTTTTTAGAAAGTTATGCCGAAAAATTTCAGATGCTTTACGATTCAATAGTTCAAAATATGAAACAGAGTAAAAACTAAAAACAAAAAACGCTTTCTCCTCATCCGAAATGGTAAAGAGTTCTTTTTTAAATGAACGCAATCCAAGTTCTGAAAATTGGTCTCTAGATATCTCCTGAATGATAAGATATGAAGGTGTAACATGTTTTTTGATTAATATACTTTCATAAGTCAAACATATATACAACATTTTATCAATATTTCATGTATCCTGTCAAAGTTAGAGTTTTGGGCGAGAACCTCATAAAAATACATTCAGCATTGAACTCATATTGTTAAAAAAGAAAAATCAGACATATAATTTTAAGAACGTGTGAACAATCAAAGTTACGTGTTATTTTTTTTTCTTAAGAGCAAATCTTCTCAACTTGAAAATCTCCTTTCGAGTTTCGATTCTGTGCTTAAAATAAATCCTAATGAAGTATTTCAAACTCCAAAAAGGATAACGGCACCGAAATCTTTTCTACAAAGTTATAGCTATTTTTCTGAATTTTTAGCCAACAGCATCGTGTGTATAAAAGAATCGAAGTGAAGATATTTTGATTTGAAAATTTCAGCTCTTAATAGTGTTTCTTTCACGCGATATTGACCTCCTAAATATCGCTCATATTCTAGGAAAGTTTAGAGAATCTCATGTTTAGAAATTCAATATCTCATGAAGGAAATACTATTTAAAGTTGAAATTTTCAGGACATACTGATCACAAGTAGACCAATCTATGAATGGAATTTCAGGTCAAAATACTATCATTCAATAGTTTTCCACACACCTACTACAAGACTAAAATTTCAGTAAAATAGCTATAACTTTTTAGGAACGGTCTGAAGATCTTTAGGATGTTGTAGCTTGTTATACCTCATCAGGGTCTACCTTATACATAGAGTTCTAACTCACAAGCGATTTTACAGTTGGAAACGTTCTTTCCTTGGACGAGATAATTTCGATGGCGTCAAGTTTTTGAGTATTACTTTAGGCTTAGCATTGAATACAAATTAGTGTTAAATGTTTAGCCAAGAATTTTAAGGAAGAAAGCTTATCGTACAAAGTCCTTTTTCACTAAAAAAAATCTATTCATTCTGTATACCTTCATATTGCTCAAATCCTCTCCTAATCAATAATTCCTCTAGCTTTTTCTTTAAATATACCTCAATATTTATTATAATTAAAACGACACTGTATCATAATAATTTTTTGACAACAATATGAAGCACATTACTTTATATTTAGAAGGAACAACTTATAGTGGTTTAGCACTCGATAAATTATTTGGTAAATAGTAATTTTGAAGAAAATAAAAAATGACTGAATACTTTTTTTTTTTCTTTTAAAAAAAGCTTATTCTGCTGAAATAACAAGTAACAAAAATGTTAGTGCATTAGCATGGAATCGAAAAAATTCAGATTTACTTGCTGTTGGCTATGGTCCTTTTGAATATAATGATCAACGTGATGGTTTAGTCTGTTGTTGGACTTTGAAAAATCAAGAC